TAGTATTGTACCACATAATTATGTCCATTTTGAACTTGTAGATATTAAAAATTTCCACATTGATAGTGTTGAGTTATTGGAAATGTATATATATAAGTAATGTTTTTTGCCAACCTTATAGGATGAAATGAAATGTGAGGACAATCTTAATGCAAATTTTATCAAAATATAGGGCCCAAATGATGCATTTGGACAAGTTGATGGTAAAGAAGAAAACATGACGAGTTTGCATTTGTATGGATTAGGTTGTCTCCTCATCTAATTATATGGAGAGATACATCTAGTATAAAGCAAACCAAGACACAACAATGGATGTTATGGAAGGTGAAAATTCAGAGCTAAGGTCCAAAGTTTCCCATGTTCAGCATGCTCGAATAACTTGACAAACACATCTAATCAGGTAATTTTTTTAATAGAACTTTATAAGTTATTAATGTTTTCCTACACTATATATGCATACATATGTCTATGCGTGTGTGTTTGTAAAATTAAATAGTTCAAATTTGGTTAGGCCACAATAACTTCTACTCCTCTCGACATGGCTCGACATCAAGCATGGTCTTTGTCATCGATACAAGATGCTTCTCTTACTCAGATAACTACTAAGAAGCTAATCATATATATCACATTATTTCCAACTTTATTTTAGAATACCATGCAACACTTATTTTACAATTAACCAAGGAATGAATATTACGGACATAAATTTCATTATTTAAATCTAAACAATATGTGCTACATTGTCTAAATCATGACATGACAAAGTTTTGTGCTATTTTTTTTAAAAAATTAATTTAATTTTTCTTCAAGCTTAACAAGACATCTTCCATCATTTATTACTGCATGCCTCTTTCTGATTCTCTCAAAATATTGCTTGAAAGTAATTAGTTGATTGTCATTTTTCACAATTACATTTGATTTACATCGTTGAGGTTAGGTGATCCTGATATTGATAATGGACATGGTTTTGATTGTCGTTGATTGGTGCTTTTGGTTGTTATTGATTTTTGAAGCCATTGTTTGATATGGTCTAAAGTTTTACGGTTGTTACTTTTATATAATTTGTGTTGTAGTGTAGTGAACCAATTAAGTGATTTAAAGCATTTGGCTTGCTTATCTACTATAGAAATCCATATCACTTTCAGTTGTGATTCATCTTCACTCTAGCACTTTGTACTAGTTTTTTTTTTTAAATATTTATTAATTTTAAATATACAATTACTTAAGTAGTTAAATCTTGATTTACAGGTGGGAGATATAGTTGTTCTAAAAAGTATCAGTTAGGCCAACAGAAACAGTTTGCAATCGGAGTATTTAAAGCACAGACACATCTAAAGAAGTAGAAGGGGAAAGAACTAGGACCTGACTAATTGGGAAGGTACATGTTCAATTGCCAATCAAACCTAATGAGAGGCTTGATTCTGATCATATGGACTTGTCAAAACAATTGGACAAGTTATTGGAGGCTCATGTTGCTTGGCCTGCTCCATTTGTGGTATAATTTCTTTCGTAAATACTAATTTTATTAACAAATTTATATTAACTTAATATAGTTTCAATTACCTTCATATGTTTATCTTTTGGATGCAGATTTCACAAGTTATGGATGCTAGTCGAGAATATTTATACAAGTGGAGGTTGAGAGATTTGGGAATAATTTTATTTTTTGATAATTTTTCTCTCCGGAATATGCATATCACTATGGCTTTTCAAGAACTTATGGTCGGAATAATTTTCTTTTAAATTGTTTTTTGCTTTAACTTTGTTAGTGTGGTAGAATATTTAATAATTTTGGATTGAGATTTTAATGAATAATTGATTGTGGTTTTTTTTTTTTTTTTGATGTGATGATCTTATGGTGTAATATTTGTTTATTATTATGAAAGTATTATAGGATGAATGGATGTCAAATTAATATATGATGTGGCAATTAATATTTAATTGTTTATAAAATTGATTTCAATTTTTACAGGTATTTACGCATGCATAATTGTAGCTTTTAAAAGTATCAATGAAAAAAAATATGTAAGTGGCATTTTATAGTAGTGATAGTAGCTTTTGCAAAGTGTCAACTAAAATAAGTTCCAATGGCACTTACATCTATTTAATGGCCACAAATGATTGGATTTAGTGGCATTTATGAAGGTGTTATAAATATCAATTTGGCATAATAAGCGTCATTAAAAATCCATGTCATGGCATTTTTTAGATTGCAAGTCTTCTTTGATTGGCACTGATAGGTCACGAATAGTGCCTACCCCGACATTAAAGTGTCATTGAAAGGTTTAGTCTTGATGGTGTAATGACACTTGTAAGTATCACAAACTCTTTTTAATGACGCTTGATAGTGCCACAAATAATATCTACCATGACTTTAAAATGTCATTAAAAGTTTTTAGTCAAGATGGTCCAGTGACACTTGCAAGTATCTACCGTGGCACTCGTATCTACCGTGGCACCGATAGAAGTGACACTTGTTCAAAATGCCACAAAGACTAAAAAATGCCATTAGAAGAATAGTTTTGTGCACTTTCAAATGTCACTAAACTTAAGAAAATGTTGTAGTGTGAGATTTGCTTAAAATACAAATTGTCTCCTGTGGTTTGAAAAAATTACAAATACCTCCCTGTCAAATTTTATTTAATAGAATTAATTTACAAAGTGAAATTTCTAACTGTTTACCTATACAATAATAAAATTATCTGAATTATTAATTGAAATAAAATTTTAACATTATTAAAAACTGTTAATTAACTTGATGATTTATTAATGAAATGACCTATTTATTATGAAATTAGAAACCTTAAGGGGCATAATGTAATTTTTAAAATCACAGGAGGTAATTTGTAATTTAAGTAAATCTCAGGAAGTGTGTTTGTAATTTATCCAAAAAAAAAAGAAATTTTTTTTTAAAAAAACAGAAAAAAAGACAAATGGAGAAAAACAAAAGTAAGAGAGGGTGACCACTTGGGTGACTTCTGAACAGAAACTCCACCACAAATATATTATACCAAAAAAAATAAATAAATAAATAAATAGAATGAAAAAAATTTAAAGACCTATGTCAGGTGTGTCTAAATCAAAAATACTTTAAGATTAGATTATTTTCTTTCTTTCTTCTACTTTATGTTATTAATTGTAGCTAATTTGTGCAGTACACGAGCTAAACATATTTACTATAAAATAATTTTTTCTTATAAAACTTAGTTAAATTATTTATATTTTTGAAAATATAAAATATTGAAAAAGATTTGAATATATAAAATCTTTAAATTAGAGAAAGAAAAAAGCAATAATTTTAAATTTAAAAAATGATTCTAGTTATTTATTTTAATAATTTTAGTTGTATTGTTTCATAAAAGTGTTGTTTAAATCAACACATATACTACTTTTAAATAAATTATTTATATGTATTTTAATACTTTTAGCTCTATTGTGTTATAAAAATGTAACTTACATAAATATATATATATATATATATTTCATAAAAATAAATATTTTTAATATTTAATTTTTTTTAAAAAGTAAAAAAAAAGTTGAAGAAAACTAATTGGTAAAATATTTTAGTATGCATAATTCTATTAAGTTTTGTTTATAGGTAATTTAGATTAAGTGGAAATTTTTTAAATATTAAATTTTAGAAAGAATTTTGACAAGGGTATATTGATATGCAATTTTAATATAAAACAAGATGCGCTAAATAGGAGAGAGAAAAAACTTAAAGATAAACAATTCTTTTATTTATTTATTTTGATAATCTTAGTCCTATCATTTTATAAAAATAGTATTTAATTCAACACATATAATAATTTTAAATAAATTATTTGTGTATATCTTAATAATTTTAGCTCTATCATGTTATAAAAATATTAATTAATTAAATATGTAATGATTTTAAATTATATTAAATTATAACACAATAAAATAAATATTCATTTGATAATTTTAACCTTTCGTGCTTAAGAAATGT